GTATGTAGTAGCTGTAGGTAGTAGCTGTAGGTAGTAGTTGTATGTAGTAGGTAGTAGCTGTAGGTAGTAGCTGTATGTAGTAGGTAGTAGCTGTAGGTAGTAGGTGTAGGTAGTAGCTGTAGGTAGTAGCTGTATGTAGTAGCTGTATGTAGTAGCTGTAGGTAGTAGCTGTATGTAGTAGCTGTAGGTAGTAGGTGTAGGTAGTATCTGTAGGTAGTAGCTGTATGTAGTAGGTGTAGGTAGTAGCTGTAGGTAGTAGGTGTAGGTAGTAGCTGTAGGTAGTAGGTGTAGGTAGAAGGTGTAGGTAGTAGCTGTAGGTAGTAGCTGTATGTAGTAGCTGTAGGTAGTAGCTGTATGTAGTAGGTGTAGGTAGTAGTTGTAGGTAGTAGCTGTAGGTAGTAGGTGTATGTAGTAGCTGTAGGTAGTAGCTGTATATAGTAGCTGTAGATAGTAGGTGTAGGTAGTAGCTGTAGGTAGTAGGTCCCGCTCTGTAGGGTGCAGTACGAGGATTAACCCCAGCCGTGACGCACATCGAAATGAAACCATTGGGTGATACTGCTACGGCGTTGGCGGTCGTGCACAATCACCGTTAACAACAACAACGACATCCGTGTCAACAGCACTGCGTGTGGCCTTAGACGTTAAAGTTACACAGAGTGTGTATCTCAATAATATCGTGATGATCGGCAGAGAAGTCGCGTATCATATACCCCCCCCCTTTTGAGGTCACGCGGTGGTGTACGACGGATGTGCTGAGTTTCGTAAATTAGTTTTTAATCTTAATATGCCGCTACATCGAGATTAGACCACAACCACTACTCGTCAGGCATGATTGGGCTTCAAGCGATCGTACCCTAGGAGTCATGGGTACCACGCTTAGGCCCGTCCCATTGATGGTTTCCTTTCCCGGCACCTCGGATTTCTCACGGTCGGCCACAGATCGTAGCGAAAGGAGTTCGACACACAGCGCGCTTCAAAAAGATGTTAACACTTCGGATATATTTTTTTGCAACAACAGCACGAGAAATGTGTGTGTGTATGCTCTGGAGAACCACCTGTTGAAGATTCCAGGCGCAGCGTTGACAACGCTGGCGAACAAGTGGGAGAGAGACTCTTTTAGGATTTTTGTAGCTATCAACATTACATTTGTCATCGCGTTGCAGTGTATGCGTCCGTTCTTTTTCCCATAAAAAACCGATGGACCCATGCGAGTGTTAACATGTTTTTGAAGCGCCCTGTACGTACAAGCAGCGCACAGCAAACCACGACAGCTCCTAACGTCCGCTACCCCCCCCCCACCCCCGTAACCCCTCTCTCGGCTCCTACCACCACCACCACCACCGCGTTATCACCACACGGAGGATGGAGCCATCGCAGGTGCATGTTGCCATCGCTCCTCGTCCTCCTCCGTGTGACGGTCGCGTGCCGATTTGAAAGAAAAATGAAGCCCCCACCCCCCGCGCAAGAATGACCTTTTATTATATATATAAAAAAATATATAATCACCCTTGATTATAATTAACTGAGCAAAGATAGCACCGATCGGTTTTTGTTAATTGGAGTTGTCACTTGTTCCGGCGATGCCGTGGCAATTATTTGATGAGAACTGTTACGCTTGCCTTACCCCCCCCCACCACCTTCAGCCTCTCGTCTCAAATGACGAACTTCAAACGCCGTCGATTTGACCCTCGTAGTTGTGGGGGGAGCGGTAGTGTAGTGGTTAAGCGCGCCGCGCTACGAACCTGGCCACCCGAGTTCGATTCCCTGCTCACGGTCACCAACACCACCGCGGACGATTTTCTAAACCGGTCCCGGGCCTCCCCCCTAGGTCGCCTCGGCCTCAAATGAGAGCGGTGTGTAGTAAACATCGCCACTCGGGGAGACAAAGGCGGTCGGGCGTGGTGCTGGCCACCCCTGCCCCCCACACCCCCCCCGCCCCCCCCCCCCCCCCCCGTGTACCGTGGCGGCCTTCATAGGCACTCTCGCAAGCAGCACTTGCCCCGAAAATCCATCAAGGTTATACGGGGGATCTTTGCGTGGATTTAAAGTATTCGCGTCATCACGTCGGCAGCGGTCCACGAACTAAAGCAACGCAACTCAACACATTCGTCAATCAACGCTGTCGCAGAGGCTGCATATGTGTGGGGGAGGGTGGGGGTAATAAATACAATAGGCGACGTTTCGGATAATGCCCCGTCTGCATAACAGAGAAGAATGGTCATTGCCATGACCCGAAACGTCACGTGTTATTTATGCATGACGTCCTCGTTTGGACGAATGAGTTTAGATTGTGTGAATGAACATGGCTGTGTGTGTGAACATGGGTGTGTGTGTGTGTGTGAACATGGATATGTGTGAACATGGATATGGATGTATGTGAACATGGATATGTGTGTGTGTGTGTTTGAACATGGATGTGTGTAAACATGGATGTGTATGAACATGGATGTGTGTGTGTGAACATGGACATGGGTGTGTGTGAGTGTTGAACTCCTTTCGCACCGAGCTTAAGCCAACTGTGCTCATCGGAGGATGCGGAAGTGTCTGTGAATTGGAGGCTGACGTTTTGGGTCACGGCCCTTCTTCAGAGCAAAACAGAAGGGTTGGGGGAGGGGGGACGTTGTGTCATTGGTCGAGGAGAGCACTCCCACACATCTAGAACACTCACTCACATCTAGAACATACACATCTAGAACACTCACACACATCTAGAACACACACACACACATCTAGAACACTCACACACATCTAGGACACTCACTCACATCTAGAGCACTCACACACATCTAGAACACTCACTCACATCTAGAGCATTCACACACATCTAGAACACACACACACATCTAGAACACTCACACACATCTAGGACACTCACTCACATCTAGAGCATTCACACACATCTAGAACACACACACATCTAGAACACTCACACACATCTAGAACACTCACACACATCTAGAACACTCACACACACACACACATCTAGAACACTCACACACATCTAGAACACACACACACATCTAGAACACTCACACACATCTAGAACACTCACACACATCTAGAACACTCACACACATCTAGAACACACACACACATCTAGAACACTAACACACATCTAGAACACTCACACACATCTAGAACACTCACACACATCTAGAACCCTCACACATCTACAACACTCACACACATCTAGAACACTCACACACATCTAGAACACTCACACACATCTAGAACACTCACACACATCTAGAACACTCACACACATCTAGAACACTCACACACATCTAGAACACTCACACACATCTAGAACACTCACACATCTAGAACACTCACACACATCTAGAACACTCACACACATCTAGGACACTCACACACATCTAGAACACTCACACACATCTAGAACACTCACACACATCTAGAACACTCACACACATCTAGAACACTCACACACATCTAGAACACTCACACACATCTAGAACACTAACACACATCTAGAACACTCACACACATCTAGAACACACACACACACATCTAGAACACTCACACACATCTAGAACACTCACACACATCTAGAACACTCACACACATCTAGAACACTCACACACATCTAGAACACTCACACACATCTACAACACTCACACACATCTAGAACACTCACACACATCTAGAGCACACACAACAAGTAAGTAAGGTAAACGTGCGTTCGTTTTTCTCCAGCATTTAAGACGAAGCAATGCCGCGCGAGTCCATGGGACTAACTATGGAGATCAGCGCAGAGTTTGCCCGCAGCACCGGTTTAAACAGGGTTTAGATCGCGTAAATATATAAATGTGTCGTTAAACCCGCCACCACCCGACACAGCCAATGAGTGTGGTTTTGTCACGTAAACAAAACGTGTCATTTAGTTACTACTTTAGCACACCGGTTGTGCGTTGGAGAGTTAAACCCACGAACATTTACAATTCGACTACCGCGTGGCGTGTCGCTGTTGATGACAACAAACAGCATCATCAGGCGAGTTTCCAGATCTAACCCTCCCCCGCCCCCCATTTATCGCGGATAATATTGGTCGCGAAACCCCACGTGTTAAAACAGGCAAAACAAATCACGAATCCGTTTTCGACTTCGCCGAATCGCATCAGCGGGGCATGACGCCTCCCCCCCCCGTCTCCCTCCATCCAAGCGAACGTTGCCGGGATCTTTCATTTATCCCCTCCGTGATCTCTTTGTGTAGCAAAGAGGCGCCACATTTGCGAGCAACGTGCGCGGCCCTTTCGATGCAGGACGCCAGAGAGAGAGAGAGAGCCAGAGCCGTGTTCACAATGAACGTCCAAACAGTACACGGACTTCTCGGCTTGTAACTCGTGGATGCGGCTTGACCACAGAAGCCGAAGAAGGGAACGTCGGATTGAAGGGGGCGTTGTGGAGGTGGGGGGGGGGGGGAAATTGGATTCGTGAACATTTGTTATCCTGCAAAAGGTGGCAAGCGACCTGGCTGGCCAGCTGCGGAGCGGAGAGTTGAGGATTGGCACCAACATTGCGCAAACACAACGCGGTGCCATCCGTGGTGTTGAGCGAGCGATGTGGGTCATGAGAGAGAGAGTGAGAAGGAAAGAGAGAGACGGGGATGGGCAGGGAGTCAGTCTCTCCGTCTCAGCGCGCACTCCGCGGTGATTCATTGCGCCGGGCGCGGTGCCACAAACCGCAGGCTCCGTGTGTCCGGCGACAATTAAAGGCGATTCATATCGGGGGCGCCCGCGTCCGTTCGTGATCCGTCATCGTTCCCGAGACGACGCCGCGAAGTTTGCGTCGTCTGGTGCATCGTGGCACAACTTGAACGCACCACAACGCGCGCATGGAGTGACAACGCCGACCGAATGGGAACATCATCACACGCTCATCCGGTGCACCCCCACGATGTTCCTGCCAAATACAGCCCCCCCCCCCACCTTTCATCCTTCCCCCCCGCCTTTGCCCCCCACACACCCACCCACCCCCCCCATCCAACGGCATTCCAATCACCGCGTTGCAGACAATCGCATTTGGGTTGCGCAAGAGTGGAATAATGATTTAGCGCGGCGAAATTTCGCAAAAGGGGGAAAGAGAGAGAGAGCGAGCGAGGGACCGGAGCGAGATGGGCACGAGTTGGGGTTGAGCGAGGCGAGAAGAGCGAGGCGAGAGGTAAGAGAGGTAAGAGAGGGGCGAGAGAGAGAGAGAGAGGAGAGAAGGAGGAGGAGTGGAGGAGAGCGCGCACACGGAGGCCACTTGACATTTATCATCCGCACGTTTCCTTATCCGGGCTCCCCGGACGCGCTCCCATTGGCTGCGCGCGTCACATGCGCCGCTGCTAAAATATACAACGATCGCTTTTTGGAGGTGGGCTTCCCCGCGACAGCAAAAACGACAGCGGCAGGAAATATAGCATCTCCGAAAGAACCCCCCCGCGAAAGAAATTAATGGCCATGAGTTCATATTTGATCAACTCCAACTACGTGGACCCCAAGTTCCCGCCGTGCGAGGAGTACTCGCAGGGCGACTACATCCCAGAGCCGAGTCCCGAGTACTACGGGCAGCCGCGAGACCCGGGCTACCGGCAACCCCCAGAGCCCGTCTGCCCGCAGCACGCGGACTACCCCGAGCAGCCCTACCACTGCGGTGAGCCCGAACCGGAGGGACTCGTGGCCCAGGCGGGGAGGCACGGCGTGGTGCCTCCCGTTCCGCAACAACCACCACCGCCACCGCCGCCGCCTCCTCCGCCTCCTCACCCGAGCCACTTGCCCCGGGCAGCCCTCGAGGCGTGCGGCGCGGAGGCTGTGCCCGCGTGCACCCAGCAGCTGGGAGCCGTGCCCAACGGGTTGACTTGCGGCGTGAGTAGCGGCAAACACCACCAGCAGCTGCAGCTGCAGCAGGACCCGCATCTTCAGCAGCAGCAGCAGCAGCAGCCGCCGGTCGTGTACCCGTGGATGAAGAAGGTGCACGTGAACGCCGGTAGGTTGGGCGCGTTGGCCCCGGATGCCTCGTGGCGGCGTTCCGCGTTCATTTGCTCCTTCCTCGTGGGGTCTTCGCGCCGGTCGCGGAGTCTCTTCCGTGACCCGCCTTGGCACGCGTGGGGCTCTCTCTCTCTCTACCACCCCCCCCCGCCCGCCCGCACGGTAGGCCGTGCGGAATTGCGAACGGGGAGGATTGGCGGGGCGAGCTGCTCATTACGAAGATTTATGTCGCCTTTAAACACAACAAATGCGCCGCCGCTGACACCGCCGCTACCGCAACGGCCCTCTTAATAAACATTTATTGCGCTCGAGGGCCCCGCTGAACGCGTCGCACACCCACGAAGCGAGCCGCACGCGCGGGAGAGAGATACGGGGTGGTGGTGGGGGGGGGAATTTTCTCTTCTCCGTTCGTGCGGCGTCCGATGTTGTTCGGGAGCTAACGTGCCTCCTCCTACTCCTCACCACCACCATCACCACCGCCACCACCGCCACAATTGTCGATGGTCTTCCAGGCTTCGGCAGAGCGAGAGAGCGCACGAGAGAGAGAGAGAGAGAAAGAGTTCGTGCAGTTTGACGATACAGCCTCCTTCCTAGATTCCCGGCGTTCGTGACTGCAGGAATCACTCATTGGACATTTCGGTAAAGTCACGTAGAAAATATAATCGATAGGATAATAGATTGTTGTCTTTGTGTGTGTCTCGCTCGGTGTGCCTGTGTGTGTGTGTGTCTCTCTCTGCTTGTGTGTGTCTGCCTACGCTGTTCCCGCGTCTGTGTTTTATCATTCATTCTTACCTGATGGTGGTTGCTGGTGTTGCAACCGAAACGTCGTATTCTATTATTATTATCAGATTTTATTTTTCTACGTCACGTTACCGTAGGAGCGCAGGATAAGCGGTTGGGTGCGCTTAAGCGGCGATGAAAGTTGCGAATCGAAGCAAGGTGGTCGTGTTGTCATCCGGGGCCCTATCCGCCTCCTACCACCACCACCACCACGGGTGCGACTTTAAGGGGGCTCGCAGGCAAGGTGGAGTGTTGCTGCCCGCGTTGATCGCGCACGCGGGGAGGCACGGGGAGAGCGAGCAAAGGCGGCGAGCGGCAACCTTTAGAGAAGATATTGAGCGGCTGTTTGAGGCGCGATCTGGCGGTGGCGGGGTGGGGTGGAGTGGGGTGGATTAGCTATTGTTTGGGAAGCATAGCGCGTTGCCAAATCAATTGGGGATCCATAGCCGTCAACGTGCATCATGTGAAGCAGGGACAGAAACAAACTGAAATGGCCCAGCCGAGACGCGAATGAGTGCGCCGCGCGCGCGTGGATTTGTGTACGTTTATGGATGTATGTGTGTCGTGTGTGTGTGTGTCAGCCTCAAGTGAGTACCTTGGTGGTGCGTGTACACATCGACACGAGGGAGACAAAGGCGGCCGGGCGTGGTGCTGGCCACCCACCCTCCATTCGTGTGCCGTTCCGGCCTTCATAGGTGCAACTCGCGAGCGGCACTTGCCCCAACAGTCTGTTACAGGCTATACGGGGGATCTTTGTCTTAGCGTGTGTTGAGCGGTAGCGCAGTGGTTAGCGCTACGCTGCGCTACGAACCCGGCGACCCGAGTTCGAGTCCCGCTCACGGCCACCAACACCGGTGACGATCATCTGAACCGGTCCCGAGCTCTCTTCCACGTCGACTCAACGTTACCAAATGAGTACCTCGTGCTGATGTGTAACCATCGCCGCTGGGGGAGACAAAGGCGGCCGGGCGTGGTGCTCGCCACCCACCCCCCTCGTGTGCCGTGTGCCGTGCCTTCAAAGGTGCAACTCGTGAACGGCACTTGCCCCCCGCGGCTATACCGGGGGGGGGATCTTTGTCTGTGTGTCTCGTCGCCACGTGCACAAGGAGCTTCTTACGAAATCGCGCGTTAATCGGCAGTCGAAATTTGAGCGACACAGTAGCCTGTCGTGGAAGGGTGAGTGTCGTGGAAGGGTGAGTGTCGTGGAAGGGTGAGTGTCGTGGAAGGGTGAGTGTCGTGGAAGGGTGAGTGTCGTGGAAGGGTGAGTGTCGTGGAAGGGTGAGTGTCGTGGAAGGGTGAGTGTCGTGGAAGGGTGAGTGTCGTGGAAGGGTGAGTGTCGTGGAAGGGTGAGTGTCGTGAAAGGGTGAGTGTCGTGGAAGGGTGAGTGTCGTGGAAGGGTGAGTGTCGTGGAAGGGTGAGTGTCGTGGAAGGGTGAGTGTCGTGGAAGGGTGAGTGTCGTGGAAGGGTGAGTGTCGTGGAAGGGTGAGTGTCGTGGAAGGGTGAGTGTCGTGGAAGGGTGAGTGTCGTGGAAGGGTGAGTGTCGTGGAAGGGTGAGTGTCGTGGAAGGGTGAGTGTCGTTGAAGGGTGAGTGTCGTGGAAGGGTGAGTGTCGTGGAAGGGTGAGTGTCGTGGAAGGGTGAGTGCCGTGTGGTGCTCACGGTCAGGGTTCAATGTGGTCATGTTGAATTCCGTGCGGCTGTAAATCTCAGGCACCGTCATCATTTCGGGACGGGGTGAAACAAAAAATGTACAGATGTGTTTTTGTTCCAAAAAAGGGCTCGCTCCGAGGGGGGGGTCTAATTTTAAACCCAGTGCGTAACGTGCAAAACTAAATTCCACCTGCTCGTCTAATTTATCTTACGAAACGGGCGCCGTAAATGCAAATGCGTGTTTTTATCTGTGTGCGTGTACGCTTGTTTCGTATTCATCGATATCGTGATGATTTCGCGCAGCGTGGAAATTGGTGAACGGTGAGCGGCGAGCGTGCTCACTGAAGGTAGCAGTAGCAACACAATCAGCAGCTGCAGTGTCACCACGACCCCGACCACGGCGACTACCGATACAGCCGCCGCTGTGAACGAGCAGCAGTAGCAACACCACCGCTAGCCACCACTCACCACCATCAGCAATGCCACCTCGAGACAATACAACCACCATCACGTCAACCACTAAATGCCACCATCGCCACCGCCACCAACAATATTGTTGGTGGCGGTGGTTAAACCACCACCGCCACTATCGCCACCACTGCCAGCCATTATAACCACCATGACAACCACCATCACCACGACCACCAGCAACTAGAGCCACCAAAACCGTTGCCACCCACCACCACGAGCCGCCACCGACATGGCCATTTATCGGTCGCAACTCCTAGCGCCGGCACCGTGGAGCAATTATCGAGTGAGAGGCGGCCGTCACTCGCGCGTGCGTGTGGTCATTGAGCACCGTCAACGCGCCTTTACAAACGGGCCCTGCAACACCGCACCACGTGCCAAACCCATCGCGAAGAGACGCAGAGACGCCGTGGCGTACGTGAGACGCGGGGACAGGGAGAAGGATGTATTTCACAGGCAAAGGGAGAGAAAGAGAGAGAGAGCAACACGATTCGGAGATTATGGGGTGGGTTGTTTTTTTTTTGTTAATGGACAGAGTTGCACGAGAGAGAAAGGAGAGAGAGAGAGAGAGGAGAGAGGGAAGATATATTTCACGATTCGGCACGACCTCTGGCCGCTGCTTAGGCGCGACGTCGCTCGTAAATCTACCGAATGGCGAACCGGTGATTGGCTTTGTGCACTCATGAAGTTTCGCCTGCTAACGCTGTCCCCTCCGATATCCACACTCCTCCTCCTCCTCCCTGTCATCACCTCATCTTCCACCCGAACCTTTTGTCCACTTCCGCTCTCCTCCTCCCCCCTCCTCCTGCCCCCCCCCCCGACCACTTCCTCCCTCTCCCCCCCCCCCATTTTTTCCCTTCTCCCTCCACGTCTCTCCATCACCACCGCCGCCGCCGCCGCCACCACCACCAAACGTCACGACGACCGCCCACAGTCAACCCCAACTATATCGGCGGGGAGTCGAAGCGCTCCCGCACGGCCTACACGCGCCAGCAGGTGCTGGAGCTGGAGAAGGAGTTCCACTTCAACCGCTACCTCACCAGGAGACGGCGAATCGAGATCGCGCACTCGCTGTGCCTGAGCGAGCGCCAGATCAAGATCTGGTTCCAGAACCGGCGCATGAAGTGGAAGAAGGACCACAAGTTACCCAACACCAAGATTCGCTCCTCGGGTCCCGGTGGGGCTGTGCAGGCGAACGGTGGAGCGGCGGTGGTGATGACTGCAGGAGGTGGTGGTGGTGGTGGAGGTGGTGGCAGCAGCAGCAGCAGCAGCAATGGTAGTAGCAGCAGCAGCGGCGGCGGCGGCAATGGGAAGGGCCACTGCGTGACCTCAGCTCCCACGAGCGGGGTGCTCACCAGCGCGTTATGAGCCTCAATGAGACGTACGGTCGGACTGGAGCGCACGTATATATATACACACACACAACTACACACTCAAGTACACACACACACACAAGTACACGGGGACACACACAAGTACACACACACACACAAGTACACACACACACAAGTACACACACACACACAAGTACACACGTAAGTACACAAACACACACACAAGTACACACACACACACAAGTACAAAAACACACAAGTACACGGGGACACACACAAGTACACACACACACACACGTAAGTACACAAACACACACAAGTACACGGACACACACAAGTGCACGTACGCACACACAACTACACACGCAAGTACACACACACACACACGTACACAAACACACACACACACACAAGTACACGGACACACACACAACTACACACGTAAGTACACGGACACACAAATACACACGCACGTACACACACACAAGTACACGGACACACACACAAGTACACACACACGTACACGTGTACACATGTACACGTATACACACAGTACACGCGCACACGTGGCACTCGTATACGATACACTAAACCAAACGTAGGCACGAATAAAAACCGACAGTATACTCCGACACATTCCCAAACACACACGCAGATATGTGTACACATTCAGTCGTGTATAAACTCATACACATATGTAATCATGCACACTAGTATACACTCATACCTGGTACAGACGTATGTATATATACGCCTGTACATAAATACATACATAGACAATGATTCATATTTTGTCTACAATGCACACGCTCCCATACGTACACACATGCGCGTGTACAAAGACACACGAACGCACACACACAAAGAGGCACGCACACACACACACACTCATTCATACGCATTTACACACGGGCACACGCACACTCTTCATACGCACACATATCCACATATATGTACACACACACACACACAAGTACAAACGCACACGCATGCACACGCACGAAGACAAAGATGCCCCGTGTAGCCTTAACATACTTTGGGGATGAACGTGCTGTTTAGCGTGCAGCACCTATGAAGGCACGATTCTCACCCGCGCAGCATGTACACAACCGTACCAACGTCCACTTCACGTACGCACGCATATCCACGTATACACGCACGCGCATACATTACTCACTCATACATAGACGCACACACGCACGACTGTCGATGTTTTTAGGGTCGCGTTTTATATACACATCACCAGATTGACGCCTCAACCGTCACCGCTTTCTCTCTCTCTCTCTATGATTTGAATGTCTTACAGTTTAACGCAAACGTCGTTTTTAAAACATGTGTTTATTTGGTCTCGCCGTTCGCCATAACTAATTGGTATATATTTATATAAATACGTCTTGGGGGGGTTTTTGTTAAAGGAAAATAATGCATATTACATGACCTAATTTATTGGTATTATTTTCTATTCCGACATACCAAACTATATATATCACGTGACCTCATGTTTTTTTTTTAAAGCTTGTCCCAGCTGGGAGATGTAAGTTGTAATTTGTGATATTTATAAGATTGGGGTATTGGCGGGGGTTGGGGCCATTGGCCCTCCGCGTGTTATATGTTGTGTGTGGGGAGCGGTGGCGCTGCAGTTAGCACGCTACGCTCCGAACCCGGCGGCCAACTCGGAGTTCCAATCCCGCTCATGGCCACCGCCACCAACGCCAGCTTCAGCCGATTGTCTTGCACCTGGTGGCCTAACCCCCCCCCCCACCCCCCCCTCTAGGGTCGACTCAGCCTCAAATGAGTACCTGGTGCAGTGCAAGCGTAGTGTGCAGTAAAGATCGTCACTCGGGGAGACAAAGGCGGCCGGGCGGGGCGGGGCGCAGTTGCCGGAGTCCACCCACCCACTCAGTTTGGCGTGCGGGCCTTTCAATAGGTTCCAACTCGCTAGCAGCACTTGCCCCCAACAGCCTGTGCGGGCTATACGGGGGACCTTTGTCTTTGTGGGTGGAGTACATCGATGCGGAGGGGGGGGGGGGCTACATTCGGGGGTTCAGGCGTCGCAATGGACGGGCATGCACTTAACCATTTCCAGCGGACCAGCCAGGCCAACTGTTATAGTTGAGGTCCATTTGTTGTTTTGTATCCTCTGCTGTAAATACCATTGTTGTTGTTTCTGCTGCTGCTGCTGCTCAACGTGTGGACGAATACTGTTTAGACTTTTGAGCTTCTAAAGCCAGCTACAGGGGGGGGGGGTATACGGGCGGAGGCATGTGTATTGTTTCAGAATTATGGTTTGCTGATCATGGTGATGATGATGATTACAATGCGCATAACGTTATTTTATTTCTGTGTTGATACTGCCAATCGTGCAGTGGTGCATCATAAGCACACTTAATAACAATAATATCAACCACAACCAAAACTCAACATACTCCGTCCAAAAATAGAATTTTTAAAAAATACCACTGCCGTAAAATGTCACTGAAATATATAATTAGACCACGTTTCGGGGGCGATGATGTTACTTACACACACACACACACACGTGTGCTCTGAAGAAGGACCTGCTGTCCGAAACGTCGCCTAATATTATACGTAATTTGTTCCTGTTAGTGCATAGTGTTATTGACAAATGTGTTGAGTTTGTGTTATATTGATCACCATGATTCATCTCTCTCTCTCTCTCTCATTCTTTCTCATTCTCTCTCTCTCCGCTCATTTTCTGTCTCTCTCTCTGGAGCCATGAAGTACAACTTACCTGCAGTGTAGATTTTTTTTGTATTATTATTATTTGGTATTTATCCGCTCGTTGTCCACCTCTTTGTTACGGACGGCGTGCGTGCGCGCGCGCGCGTGCGCGTGTGTGTATGTGTGACACAGGCCTTCGCCATGCCACCTTGCTTTGTACATCGAGTGCAACGGCTGCCGAAGCGGTTATTCGTGGTATTTGTATAATATATCAAACGCTGCAGAGAGAGAGAAAACAAGCTAAACACAGCGGGTCAACAGAAAAGGGGAGGATGTACATGTCACTGAGCGCGCGTGTATGTTGGGTGTATTTATGAAGACTAAATTAAGGCAACAAAGGGCAGAGAAAAATTCACGACTGTTTTTGGGAACAGTATAATTGTGTCGGTGTCAATTGAACCCATGTGTAGTATATATATCTGTAGTGAGACGGGGAGGGATTTCGTGACGTAGGGTATATATGTGCCAATTAGTTAGGGTTATTGTCGATCGCACTTGGAGGGTTATTTATCTGTTTCATAGGAAATAAAAGTCACGACACCATCGCGCCTCATTGCGACCGTTCATCCGTTGCGCGCGCGTCACACGCACGTGGACACGGGCCACGTTAATGATCTGCTCCGAGTGAAGGGTCGCCGCCCGAAACGTTCACTCGATTATTATTTTTCTCGGGGAGGTGGGGCGGGGGGGGGGTTTGTATTCGCTCGTGAAACGGTGTGTTAATGTGTCAATTACGGTAAGCGTGTTTACCCGTGAACATAACACGGCGTGGACCCGAACGCGTTAAAGTCGCGTGCCCGCGCGCGCGTGCGTGTCGTGTTAAAATAAAAATAAAAACACGACGCTATTGTGTTAGGCACCACAACAACCACAACACAGCCGCGTAGCACAACGTGCCTGCTGTGGAAACATCGCATTGTGTTCACGGAGCACAATGCGTTATTCGTGAGCGGAGGGACATTCATAAACAACTCGCGTGCGCATTCGTACGTGAAGACACAGACGCATTGCGCACGCATTAACGAACACGCACGAGGAATTAAATGTATACTGTAACGATATACTGCATTGATAGCCTTTATTTCAGGCCTGATGTTATTCGTGTGGAAGGCTCCTGCGTATACACACAAAGAATCTCTCTCTCTCTCTTAGACACACACACGAAGACAAAGATCCCCCGTGTAGCCTTAACAGACTGTTGGGGCAAGTGCTGTTAGCGAGCAGCACCTACGAAGGCCGGCACGGCACACGAGGGGGTGGGTGGCCAACACCACGCCCGGCCGCCTTTGTCTCCCAAATGACGATGTTTACACATCGCAGCAGGTACTAATTTGAGGCTAAGTCGACCTAGGGGAGGCCCAGGACCGGTACATATAATCGTCACTGGTGTTGACCGTCAGCGGGAATCGAATCCGGATCGCCGGGTTCGTAGCGCAGCGTAGCGCTAACCGCTACACTACCGCTCCCCACATAAACAAAGGCACACACACACACGTACATAAGCACATGGGCACACACATGCACTACTGACACACACAGCGCAATTACAGCTAAGATTCGTTGGGGCTCAGCCATTCCTAATTCAGGATATGCAACACGCACCCCAAATCGCACCCTTGAAACAACAGCGTTTACAAACATTAAAGTCAATAAGTAATACATGTGATATGTGTATGCGGAGATGTGGGTCGAACTCGCGTTTTTTTAACCCTTTGCACGCTGTAATTTCCCGTTGCCAAATAGGCTGATGGGTTTTTGTAATGTTTTGTTATCATCGCTGCGACGAGAAGACGGGAGGAGGGGAGCCCATGCTATTCACGTCACGAGACATTAATCAACGTCTCCCTAAGAGCACTCACGACCCGCAACCATCCAGCACCATCCAGCAGTGGAGAGCGACAAAGGTGGGGGGGGTGGGGGGACAGGGCATGAAGGCACTGCACTGTACTGCTTCATCAACTCAAGTGATTGATCCTTGCGCGATGCGTAACTAAACAATCGGAACCCCGGAATGCTCGACGCACGCGATCAAAGCGTGCACTTGAACCGGTCCTGGGACTCCCCCAGGTCGACTCAGCATCGGATGAGCATCCTGCGCGGTGTGTAAACGTCACGTGGTGCTGGCCACCCGCTCTATAGGTGCTCGCTAACAGCCAAGAGTCCGTACCCTTTTGTTATCTAACATCGCTTTATGACGGCGGCGGCTTTCATCCAGCGGTGGAATGACCATGGCTGCTGTTGCTGCTGCTGATGATGATGATGTGTTATCAACGATCCAGGCCCTGTAACCCCGGACGCAATGGCCGTGCGCGTATAGGAAGCGCTGTGCAGCAAATACTGTACCAGGCTCACGCTGAAGCACAAAGACAAAGATCCCCCGTGTAGCCTTTAACGGGGGGCAAGTGCTGTTAGCGAGCAACTCTGAAGGCCGGCATCGACACACAA